CCAAAAGGGGGAAAGGAGAAAAACACATGGTGAAGGACTGGACAGGTCCCAAATGGCCAAGGAGAAAAGCTCAAAAGACTGCAGAACAAGTTTTGGCAGAAAAACACAGAGAAAGATCTGTTGTCTATTGTGATGGACCCTTTGAAGTTTTCTGGATCTAATCTGATTTTTGTCTGTCATTCTTTGCCAAAAAAGATAAACCCTGCCAGGGAAAAACCCACCTTCCCTTATTCTTATATTAATACAAAAACAAATGGTCTGTTTTAAATATCAAACACTTAAAAGGCAGAACCTTTCTTCTATGATGTGTTGGAGAGTTCAATATTTGCAAGCTGTCATAATGGCCATTATAACAGACCAAAGTTGTTTCTGTACCTTGTATTTTATCAAATGATGTCAGAATATAAGCCTTGGTCCTACATCTACAACTGCATCCAAATCAACCCACTGGCTCCATCCACACTTCACTGAACTGGATGACAGAGGCTTATTTACTAAAATGTCTGCATAGGGTTGTCCAAAGTTTATTTTTGAATTTTTTTTGCTGATACTAAAAATCTTCTGTTACTCTGTAGTAGTAATTTCTTTTAATAGTGCCTAACATTATATTACATTATTATACCACAGTGTTATGAGCCTTTCTAGGCTGTCATCTAACACAGTCTTTAGGCATAAGCTTACCTTTAAGCTTTTCCCTTGAATTATTTCAGTTCATACTTTCAGGTGCCTTACTTTCATGCCTTGTTGGAGGGGGGACTGAAAATACTGAGCTAAAAACTACCATGTAGTCACTACATTATGATGGCTCAGCCTGCCACTGACACTATTCCCATGAAAATGACAGCATTTACTATGTATTACTCTAAGCAACGTACTGAACATTTCACATCCATTTGCAACTAATCCATTGAAGTGCCCCAAACCCCATTCTGCCATTGCTATTGGCAGATGTTTTTTCACAGTGGCATTCATAAGAGTGCCATTCATTCATTGCTGGCTAAGTAGCAAATCTGGAGTTAAAGTAGGTGTTAATTCAGAGTAGCAATAAAGGAACTGGACAAGACAAACAGGAGTCCAGCAAATGGGAACTTCACCCTGACAAGATGGCAAATACACCTTCATAATGGTGTGACACCAACACTTTAAAGGCTGTGTTCTCCTGCCAGCACAACGTGTTCTAAACAGCTTTAAACAACCATGTGTTTTACATTAAAATACATTGTCTTACCTGCTTGGGTCTCTTGTATTATCCCAAATAAATGTTGCCATTCCTACACAAACTCCTGCTGCTTATCCAAATAGAGTTCTTGTCTCCCCAGCTGCACAATCCTAGACTTCTGTTCAGTAATGGCATCAGCCATTTATTTGGGCATGTTCCTATTTTATTGAGGTCATTCCAGACTTTTTCTCTGCTCTCTACAGTTGCATTAACAGCTTCCTTCCTATTTTTAAATCAGTAGCTAATTTCAGCAACTAAATGCCTATTGTTTCTTTCAGGGTCACTCATAAAACAAACACCATTATTGATCTTTCTGAATCTTCCACTAGTTTTCCCTTTTATCTCATCTGAGTGACTATTCAAGGGGCAATTTCTCAATAAACCAGGACATTTATCCTAGATAAACTAGGGTATCTGAAGGAAGAGATTTTCTGTCTGTGTATGTTAATACAGCTCCTATCATGGCAGTATCAAAGAAACTCATAAACCTTAGGGATTTTGTCTGCACAACACCTTTTTAAAGGGACAAGAATTGTTAACTGTCTTTTACAAACGAGGAAGTAAGACACAGGGGGATTTAGTGCTTCAAAGGCAAAGACCACTCATCAAATGTACAACAAATTAAATTCTTATTTTCTACATTTTAACCACAATGGCATCTTCTCTCTATTTTTGCAGGATCTCTGGATACACAGTTGCTTACTCGTTAGATTGATGACCTGGTCAGTTTATATTTATTCTGCATTTTTAATGAGCATCTAAAGACAACAGACATCACAGACCAACATAAAAACAGTGTTAAACTGAACTGTATGTCCTTTACCATTATTATTAAACTTCAGTACAATTCTAAACCTGTTTGTTGTCCTCCAGCCAAGCTAAAGGAAATTTCAGCTTTGCACAAGAAAACGTGATACCAAAAAGCCTTCCAGGCCTTAAAGGTAATAAGACCTAAGTGACCTCTTTCAGCCATCAGGTGTCATTATTGTTTTGGCCAAGCGTGGCAAATCCAGTCCTTCTCAAATGAATTAATGACCAATCCGCAAAGAAACGTTAAATTTAGTTTGAGTGCTAGAGCACTCCATCAGTTATAAGATACAATTTTCCAACGGTGCCTTAGCATTTCATCATTATTTTGCCACTTTTTGCATCTTTTTTCTCTCTTTACTCATAGGGGTGGTTTGTCAGGTTTGTCAGGCTTGTTCATACTGGTCACTGGATCAACACAGCTCCAAAGAGAGGGGTGGGAAGCTAATGCAGGAATTGGGAGGGCTGCCTGTGCTGGGTCTGTCTGCGGTGCTGTGGTACATGGAGTTGGCTGAGCCCACAGGCACCATCCCTGGGACAGACAGGAGCCACTGAGCTGGGGGCAGGTCTGAATTTTGCTGCTGGATCTGAGGAACCTCCTCTGCCTGACACTACCCATGTGCACAAAAATACATGGCTGATTCTGAGCCAGGCCAGTTATGTCTGTGTTTCATTAAAGGGCAGGCAGATCACTTCTGTCCTGCTCCAACACTTCGCAGGTTTATTAAACACAGTTTAAGAAGTTTGTCCCTAGACAGGAGATTCATGCCAAAGGTCTCACTGATGCCAAACACCATTTGGTAGGGGCAATAACACTGCCATTTAAATGTATTGTTACTCGTATTACTAAAGCTACATATTAGCATGAAATATAGAAGTTTTTATGAGAATACAAAGATCAAACACGCTAATTGCATAATGAATAGAGAAGTAGCTAGCAACCACTCAAGGATCTGGAAGCAAGGGAATCCCCTGGATAAAAGGCATTCAGTTAATCAGAAGTACCCGAGATGCATTCTCAACTCAAATATTTCTTTGCTCCTTATTTGTATGCCAAAATGTTTTCTGAGAAGCAAAATAAAGACTGATGTTCTCACTAGGTTTTTCCTTCATTGAAGAAAGTGTGCATCAGGCAAAACTTAGCAACCAAAATTATGAAAAGTCCTAGCAAATATGGCATGAACTGTAATTTTAACAAGGTTCGGGCAGACATCAGCTGATCTACCATGGAGTTGTAGGTAACAGCATCACAAGTCACAGGAGCACATCCTGTGCACACTCTACTGTACTAACACCCAGCACTAATGCTCCCCTCTCCTGACAGCTCTCTTCCTACCTGGTGGTAGACTCTGGGCTCTCTACAGGTTCTGCCTCTATTTGCTAAGTCATGTTAAAAGTAGAGGCTGCTTTGTCTTCACTTGAACTTTACATCCTGTTAGTCTGCACAAAGGAAGTGAGTTATGTGAACAGCACACCTATTTTTTCCTAGTCAAGATGTACTTTGTTGGATATTATTGCCATTCAGGTGCCTATTTAGTAATCCAGTCAAAAGCTATGACCAGCTGCATAGCACATAATGATTTTTTGAAAGGAAAGAAAATGCCATTAAAACAAAAGGCCCTGCTCTGCTTCTGAGTAAACAAATGGGAGTTTTACAAAGGCTCAAAAAGGAAAGGGATTAACATGCTTCAACGTGGTAATGGTCTCAACTGTTCACATTAAAATTTTCACAGTAAATTAAACCATGACAGAGGTAGGAAAGAAGTCAATTTTCAGTGGCTCATGCTGTTGTGCTGACACAAATTGCCATTTTTTAGGTAGTATATCCACCAACCTGTATAATGATAGAATTACAAAACCACAACCCGTTGTTGATTATGTTCGGCCTTTTGCATGCTAATTTTAGCCTGCTCTGCCAAAATAATTGCATGCACCACCTCATTACCAGGCTTCTGGATATTCAGAACCCTGTCGCTATTCTTTTTTCACCGACCTTTGCTTAAGCCTGCTGTGTTGGCCTTCCCTCCTTGTACAGTGTCTGCTGTTCAACAACACTTCTGCTTCCCAGTTCTGCCCAGGACACCTTCCCAGCACTTACACCCAGCCTTTTCCAGGGCTGTCTTGCCAAGGCTAATGCTAAATGTCAGTCCATCTCTGCCCTGCTCATCCATGTTTCCCTGCAGGTTGCACACAACTCTTCACTATCTTCATGCTCTTCACAGTCTATAAAGAACAGCAACTTTCCTTGACTAGCGAATGATGGCATGAAGCACTACCCAATCATCCCAGCAAGGCCGGGGAAGACAAGTAAATACAGACTCACTGGTTGATGCCTGCCAAGAGTTCCCACAACACGTGTCACTTAGTGAGTTTACACAACAGTGACCAAAGAGGAGGGAAGGGACAGGCCACGTAAGTGTGCCAGTACCAGACCCCCCACAGAAAGCTCTGCCCTGCATTATTGTAGCAGCACCAGAAATGGATGTTCAAGTACAATCAGCACTTATCTGACCGTCAAATGACCACGGTGCCTTTGCATCTCAGTTGTATCACGGCAGTGTTAAACAAAAAATGACAAAGGCCTATGAAAGAAAGTCAACCCGGTAAAGAGCAAGGTGCAGTGGGAAGTGCGGGAGACCCAAAAACCTGTGTGCAGTGGGGTGGCAGCAGGGCTGGGGGGCTGCCACAGAGCCAGACCCGATTCACCTCCCCCAACCTCCCCGAGCCGGGCTGAGCCCGCCGCCCTGGGGACACGCACAGCCCGACCCGGGGCCTCGCCCCCCGCAGACCCGTCCCTGCCCCGGGCCGTGCCCCATCCCCGCGGCTCCCCGGGCCCGGCCCGCGGCGCTGTCCCGGCCGGTCCCCGGGCCGCGGGGCCCCGGGGCGGCGGCGGCCCTGCCCTGCCCGGGCCGCGGGGGGCGGCGGGGGCCCTGTGCCTCCCGGGGGAGCCGGGGGCCGGGGCGAGGGAGGGCGCATAATAAACAGCATCGTTTTGATGCAGGCAGGGCTGCCGGCTCCCCAAGCCTCCTCCCTGCGATAACAACCCAGGTACAGCCCGCGCTCGCCCCCCTCCCTCCCCCTTCCTCCTCCTCCTCCTCCTCCACCTCCTCCTCCTCCTCCTCCCGGGGGGCCGGGGAGAAATCTACAGATCAAAGAAAAGATGCACAATAATAGCGGGGTGGGCGCGCATCGCGGCCCCCCGTCCGCCGGGGCCGGAGCCGGGGCCTCCGACGGCTCCTGGCCGCGGCCCGGCCGCTGCCCGCCCGGCCGCGGGGCGAGGGGGGCGGCGGCGCGGGGCCGGGCGCCCCCGCCGCGGTACTCACCCGGGCCGGCCAGTGCGGGTACCCCTTCATTTTGGCGAACACCAGGTCTCCAGCCTTGTATTCTCGGGGCCGCGGACGAGCCATCGGGAGCCGCCGCGGGAGCCGCCGTGTGTCCCCCCGCCCTCCCGCACGCCGCCCCGGGGGCAGCCGGGCGAGCCCCCGCTGGGTGCGATGCGCCCGGGCACGGGGCGCAGCCGGGAGCGGGGCCGGGCCGCGGGCGATCCCCGATCTCTCCGGCGGCGGCGGCGGCAGGAGGAGATGGGGTGTGTGTGTGTGTGTGTGTGTGTGTGAGTGTGAGTGTGTGTGCGTGTGTCTGTGTGTGTGAGTGTGTACGCGGGGGAGGGGGAGGCCTTGGACACAACCCCAGCAGCCCCCGGTACCAGGGAGCGGGCTGGCCGGGCGGGGGCGGCCGGGGAGCCCTCGCCCCGCGGCGGCGGCGGGCGCGGCGCTGCCCGCGGCCCCCCCGTGCGCGCTGGGCTACGCCGCCCGCGCCGCCCGCTCCATCCCCGCCGCAGCCGCCGCGGCCCCGGGAATATGGAGCCGTCTCCGACGAATTACTCCTCGGGCAGCGACCGAAAACAGGATCTTCTTATCCCCCCCACCCCGCCCGCGCCTCCCCCCGCGCTTTCCCTTCCTGTTATTTTCTAGGTACACAGATCGGTTTCTATGAAAATAGGAGAGCAGAGAGCGCTCCAGTGCCGCCCGGCCCTCCCTTCCCCGCTGAAGCATGACATGGTTCTTTATGCGCGCCCGACATGGAGGCAGGGCGGCGAGGAGAAGCCGCCGGTGTCGGCAGCAGGACTCCGCTTCCCCCGGCCAAAGGCGCCCGGCCCTTGGGCCTGGGAGTGCCCTGGCCCCGCTGTCACGGAGGCCCAGGCCCAGCACGGACCGGCTCCTCCGGGTACCTGCAGCCCCCTCCTGAGCCCTCCCCATGCCGGGCAGCCTGAGCAGACCCTAGGCAGCGGCCTGGCTCCGAAGCACAAGGTTGTCCCAGTTTCTGTACCCAGCCTCTCCTCCACCGCCAGACCCTCCGCCTGCCTTTTCAGCTTAAAACTAAAACCCACATCCACCAAGCCATGGACCTCAGAGCTGCTCAGTGGTGATGTCCCCTTGCAGGGTGTTTGGGATCTCTTGCTTGCCAGGTGATGCCAGTTTTCCCCCGTGGAAGGGAAGCTCTGGTAACCCATATATCCCAGATATTGCTGCTTTTACCATAATGTTATTAGTTCAGCTGTAATGTTCAAACATCAATTATTATTGAATTTATTACACTCAAGTACCTTATCTAGTAAAACTAGATAGGCACCTGCTAGGTGGGTCACAAGCAGCAAAGTTTAGGAAAGGTTTTTCTGCAGGTCTGGCTGAAACTCTAGCAATAGGTTCCCCAACTACTCCCACATTTAAGATGGCAACTGTCCCCTCTGGGTTTAGGGAGACAGGTCTGGCTGGTACTCCCTGACTCCCAAGGAAAGCACCTGGCCACAGGCAGTTCCTGCTGATGAAGAAAGAAATAGATGGCTGAAGACTGTAGGGTCACATTTTGAGGAGGGAGCAGATGGACCACAGAGGGCACTTCCAGTCTGCAATGGCTAGTAAGATAAATAAATGCTTCTTCTAGCACCTGTTCCTGGGCTGGCACAGGACCAAGAAGACTTGCTTTTTATGGTAGCCCCAGATGTGGCTCTGGAGCCCAAATGCTGCTGTTGCTAGTATGTAAGTCAAGAAAGTTTTCACTCTGGGTCATAAAAAAGGATAAGCACTTCACTGCTGGTGGAAGCACTGCTGTAAAATCTTTAGCTCAGGTATCAGTAGCAGACTAATAATGGAAAAAGAATTTCAAAAAGCTAGATAAACATTTAGATAATTACCCTGCACTGTGCTCGGTGCTGTTACCTGTTCTGAAGTACTGATCAGTGACAGGGTTGCCAGTGCAGCCACCTGCAGTATATACATCTGGCCAAACAGCTCATTTTCACTTTCATATCAAATTGGATTTTGTATCCTCTTAAATTGATACCTAATTCCCTTCAGAAAAGTGTAATATAAGATCTCTGAGTATAGGAGCTGGAGACTCTGACCTGACTTTCCAGAGTAATCCTATGTGCTTCTTACACACACAGGATTACCTCCCCAAACCAGCCTTCCCTCCAGAATACTTACTAGAGAGGTGTAGCTGCCTTTTTTTTTTTTTTTTTAATGCATTGTTTTTTTTCATTTCAGATATAAACAGCTATTTGTAGTAACGTAGAGACCTTAAATCAGAAAGGAGCAGGATGTGTGCCAGTTTCTTACATATTTATGTACACACCCAGACAACAATGTATTGCTAATGTCAAAATAGCAACATTCGAAGTGACTAGATACAGAACTGAAACATCTCATGGCAACATGAACATTTGTGTTTCCTTTTGTCCCAGCACTGGTGTCTGCAGAGAATGCAGTGAATGGTTTCTAGTCTGCAGTGAAGATAATAACATATTAGAGCTCCAGAGAAAACTCATCCCATGGACATGCAAGGATGCAGATCTCTTTTCCTTGTGAATAGACTGCAAAGGATAAATGAGTTGCTAAAGTAAGAACTCTGTTCAGGTTTGGCCAGCTGAAAACTTTAAACACTCTGCAGATAGTTCCTCCATCAAGCTATGGTTAAGATGCTGGGCAAAGACGGAGGAGAAAAAGCAAATTTCCTTGCTGACAAATGAAAAACCAAAACAACTGTTTACACATTAAGAGGAAAGCAAAGAACACCGGCACAAAACACAAGGAGTTTGGTAGTGTGCATAACCTCAGCTACTCATCACAGCACACAAAGCCTGAGATCTCCCTAGGTCACCTGTATTCTGTTCCTTTCTCTTCTCTTACAAAGGGGATTTCATCTACTCCTTCCATATGGAAGTGGAAAAGAGGAGTGATGAGGATTTCTTCCAAGCACTTCAAGAGCAGTTTCTGATCTGAAAGGTGCAGAGGGTTTCAGAGGCTTGCTGATAGATGCACTGCATATACATAGGCCAGGTCCTAAGTCTACAGAAGCCAAGAGCTGTGTCTGCTTTGGGCACAAAGGCCACAGAGGCAGCAACAGCCGTGTCCTTACAGAGCAAGGGAGACCTGCAAGGGATGGGTGTCTCCTTCTCCCTAAAGTCCCCAGCATGATTATACCAAGTTCTCTCTCACCTCTCCCCCTGCCAGCCAGGTGCTCTATTCCCAGAGCAGGGCGGTGTACACAAGTGTGAGCAGGGGAGATGGTAATGACAGAGGACCACGAGGGAGGTGGCAGGGGCAGCAGCGTGGTCAGCAGTGAAACCCTGAGTCACCCAGGACAAATGGACTCTGAGATAACTTTCCTGAAGTGATTACCACACCACTGAAATTCGCGTTCCCCGTAATTCCCAGGAAATAGTGTTCTTAAGCTATTGAGAAGCTTTCAGCTAGTTCTGATCATTTTCCCCCAGTTCATATGAGGAAAGGAATAACTATAACATTCCTGCTTGAAAACTTTCATAGTAAAAGGATTTCATTGATTTGAAAGTGTAGATCAATCTTTAAGAAGAGAGCACGTGGACAAAAAAGGCCTAATTTCAAAAAACCTTCCAAAGTCCTGCATAAATTTTTAAACATACCTAAGTTTTGCATTAAATACTCCATGACCATGGTTTTGCACACACCTGTTTGCATGCAGACAGTTTGGAATGTGAATCCTGTTCATGGTGGTATCTTGCACTTGCCATTTTCTGAGAAGCTGCCTATATTTTTTCTGTTGAAGCCTCATGGATTATTACATTTGCCTCTAACATTCTGTCCCTGGCCATCTTACAATTTTTGCTTTCCCTGCTGAAATCTCTTTTGTGATCAGACTGAAAGTGCTCTGCAGCATGGCCACCTGAAAAATCAGCTTTACTGTTAGATATTGAAATAAAACTATTTATTTTTACTTACCAACCTACCTACCTATGGCTGATATAATTCCCTTTCCTTCTGCATTTCTTTTTCCTGTATGTAAAAATATGTCAGTAATGGTTACCATGATTAGTATTTTGCCTATGACCACAGTAAAATAGTGCTTTTCTGTTGAATACATTAATAGGAAATTGTTCTGAATCACAACTGAGCCATTCCCCTGTGCAAGACATGTCTGAGAGCACTGTCTGAAATCACAGAGCTACTTCATGTGAGGCAGAAAGAGGCCATGATGGTTTATGTCCATCCCAACATGCATAGAAAGGCACTTACCATGCCCATTAGGATATTCTTAATTACTGGAGATAAGAAGCTCACCAGGGGATCTCAAGCTTTCTCTTTAATAAGCTTAGAAGGGAGAAGGGAGTGTATCATAGCTGGAGCAAGTTATCTATAGCCAGTTTCATGAATCTTCTTATGTTATGCACTCCTAATCATATTAAATTAGACAATCTTTAAGGTGGTTGCTTTACATGTTGCAGAGGTGTGAACACATATCCTAGAGGCAGAAGAGATAGAAGCACTTCAGTTAAAATTAACTTTCTGACTGGGAGCTTTCCACTCTAAGGTGGAAAGGTTTGTATGGGATGGAAATATTAGCAAAGTATGCATTGCTGCCATTCCTTGTTCTCTACAGGCATTTCAGCTAAAGCTACAGCAGGCAAAAAGATGCCTACAGTCAGCGCTGCTTAAGGTGTTCCAACTCAAACCTCTGTTTCTAGTTTCTTGCATATCTTTCATAATTTAACCATTAGAATTGAAATTGTCAAT